CGATTTGGAAAAATATTTTTTTTTGTTTCAAAGGGTATACTTCCCAGGTGGTCCCATATAAATTTTATCGAAATCGGTAGAGCGGTTTTTAAAAAAAATCAACAATAAATATATTTTTTAAATAAATTCTTCAAATATGCTAATCGAATATGTTATTAAAAAACTATTGGACTGATTTACAATAACCTGCATTAGAATACCTAAAAATGGAAAATTAAAATACTTTCAAAAAATAAAAACCGACTTCCAGGCACTAAAATGTTAAAAATAACTAAACGGAGGTTTTCATTTTAGACACAATAGATGCTACAATATTTTAAGATATGAATACCTCTAAATTGCCGTAAACAACATGTATTTTACGTATCGAAATATATTAGATTTGCTTTGCATCGGTTATTCCTAATTAAAATATAAATCTTCTTTATATAACTACTTCTTTATATAACTTCCTTACAACATTATTTTATATTGATAAATTAAAATTTTATTCTCTCTATATAAATCTTTATGAGAGTTAAAAGTATATACGTACATACCCACACGGTTACACTTTGACCACTAAGGGTTACCTCCACCTTCGCTTCTATCAACGGTCTTTTTATATATCCTCATAGGGTATATAATATAGTCACATCACATCTACACATACATATAATAAAATTGTAACTGAGTCGAATCTGTACATTAAATATTTTTTGGAAAATCTTATTGAAATAGACATTATTGATATATAGGCCGAATCTATAGTTTTATATATATCTAGAATTTTTGTGTCTGTCTGTCTAGGAAAGCATCACGAGAAAACCACTGGTCGGATTTTTATGAAATTTGGTACGGTCATAGCTGGTTATCTGGGTCAACATTTGGAATTTGACTTTTTACTGCGGGAAATTATCTCATCCCATATTTATGAAATAAAATCCTATAACAAATAATTATTGTTTTACTCATATAAATATACAAAGGTATAATATTGTACGTAGACATTAATTTGTTAATTTTCTTATTCCCCAATACCCAAACAAAAATTTTATTTTCATTTTCAACATAAAGATGTTGAAAATAAAAATAAAATAAAAGGAAGCCCCTAGCCCATTAAAAAGGTAGTTTGGTAAAAAATGAATGCCAGAACCAAAGCATGATTTTTACATATCGTTTTCCTTATACGATACCAGTAAGATTAGCAGATTCTATGTTAGCACTTAGTGACTTAACTAAAATATTTTATAACAAAAATATACAGTGACTTCAAAATCACTTAAAAGGAATTACTCACTAAGATTTGTAAAAACCTATTTATTAAAAAAGAGAATTATGAAAATTGATGCAGTCAGATTAATTAGCGAAGATATCACATTAATATACACAAAAAAAATCCCAGTTTAGTATCCTCTATCGTTTGCCTATTTGACGGTCAAAATTGTATTATAAGTGTATCTATAATAATCTATACTAATAAATGGAGAGAAATTTTTTTTGTTCGGTTATACTGCGATAACCACTGAACCGATCGAAATAATACTCATACCATAAGATGCAGCGTGTTTCGGATAAGGTTTTAGTATATGATAGACGACACGTTTGGCTCAGTTTGTAGTGATCCTAGTTGCTGTGCCAGCGGTCGCGGGTTCGAGTCCCGTTGGGGGCATTCATTTGTGTGATCTTGCTTGAATTCCATTGTGAATGCTTGCACTCAGTCATCAAATCAAAAGCAAATCGGTCCAATAGATTCGGAGATTAGCCCGTACAAACAGACAAAGAAACAAAAAAATTGAAAAAAATCAGGATTTGTTCTATTTGTCTTCTTACATCACCCTGACTCGGTTTTTAGCATTTTTTTGATATGTACAGACATTCGACCTCCACTCTTTTATTATAGTACTAGCGGCTCACCCTCGCTTCGCTCGGGTTCGCCTCTAGAAAAGCACTAATAAAAATCTATTAGTTCCCACGGGAACCATTATATTTTCCGGGATAAAAAATATCTAAGACGTTGTCCGGGGATATAAGGTACCACCATGCAAAATTTCATTTAAATCGGTCCAATAGATTCGGAGATTAGCCCGTACAAACAGACAAACAATATCACACGGGAACGCAGTCGAACGGGATAAAAAGTATCCTATGTCCGTCTCTGGGTTCTAAGCTACCTCCCCGCCAATTTTCAGCCAAATCGGTTTAGCCGTTCTGGAGTTATAAATAGTGTAACTAACACGACTTTCTTTTATATATATAGATAGATGAATTGTGAAAAAACTTTCAAGATTCATGAATTAATGCAAAAAAAAACTTTTTAGGTACTTGTAATATTTTATAAACATGTTCACTTTTTTCTTTTTTTGGGGCTTCTATAACAATCGTGTTTATTGTGTCTGAATTTCAATAAATATATAAAAAAATCATCTGTCGTTCCAGTGTTTATCTCAAGAAACTATTGTCAAGTCATAATTTGATCATGACCATCTCCAGAACTTATGACTTATATTGTATACTTTGACGATACATTTGGCTCAGTTTGTAGTGACCCTACTTTCTGTGCCAGCAGTCGCGGGTTCGAGTCTCGCTAGGGGCATCCACTTGTGTGAGGAGCAGAATGTTTGTACTCCAGTCATGGGTGTTTATATTATGTATAATATGTACGTATTTAAAGATATATGTGTAGTGTATCTAACTATCTGGCGTCCATAACATGAGCCTCGTAGCTTACCATGGAACTAGATGGTGCTGTATGTTCATGTCCCAACATATTTATATTTATTTTATTCTAGTCGGTGCTGTACTTTTTTTGCAAAATCATAACTTCTTTACTGCTTATCAACATTTTGAATCATTGTCCATTTATTTCGATTCATCAAGGAATCATCGCTTATCCTTGGATCTCACCATCAAATATTCATCATTCGTATCGGACTACCGCTCGAGTATACATTTTTAATTAAAAAAAGAATAACTCAAATTATCCCAGCGACCTCAGTGCAACTTCCTCAATTTTGAAAATCTGTTAAAACGTCGTTAAATCTGTGTAGGATTGTAATTAAATTAGGGACGAGGCAGTCTATCTTTGTATATAAATAAATATAATTATATGTTGGTACATTAACACACAGCACCGTTCAGTTCCATGATAAGCTACGAGGCTTGTGTCATGGATACCAGATAGTTGATACACTACACATATGTTATATATTTTGCGTCTTTAATCTTATATTATATATGCTTAATAAGTATATTTTGTTTGTAAAACTCTATTAAGTAAAATATATTTTAACTTTGAGTTCTTACAAACGGGAAATTACCGTCTTTCTAAGAATTGAAAGATGAAGCCACTTTTTATATTACTTGTAAAATACATAAAGGTCGCTTTAAAATTATTCCTTATAATCTAACCATTACATGAAAGTTAAACGACAAGTTCAAACGTGATGATTCTTTCGCATTTAATAAAATCTTACCTTCTGAGGCCTCCCCTCTCACTCGAAAGGCACTTTCACTCGAGGAATTCGACAGCTTGTGACGTCAGATTTGCGCAACGTGATGCAACAAACCAAAGTTATATTAAGCATATGCTTTGATTGCTTTATTAAAGTTTAAGATTTAAATGTATTTAGTGTAAAATTAAAATGGATTGATTGTGTAGGTGATGTAGGTGTAAAATACAAACGCCCAAAGAAAAATTCTTTTTTTAGCACCAGGAATCTTTGCAGGCATATACAGGATCACCCACCAGAGTTTCATCACAATCGGATCAGATATATTTTTGTGGGGTCAGTCGGCCTGTCTGTTGTTCCAGCTAATCTCTGAAATGGCTGGAATAATTTTGACGGGACTTTCACTAGCAGATAGCCGATGTTATAAGGAGTAACTTAGGATAGTTTTATATTAGTAAAATAATTAGGGTTAAGCTCAAAAAATTAAAAAGTAACACCCGAGCGAAACAAGAGCAAGTCGGTAGTTTCTTCAATATATTTTATAAAAATATATTTTTGAACAGCAATTCAGTGAAGCTTAACAAAAATCATTAGACAATTTGACATCAACAAACACATTACATCATATAAAAATTGGAAGGGGTCAGAAATAAAAGTAGGTTATACATAAATGGCCATTTAATTCGATGCAATATACATTACATGATTCATAAAATCTACATTAGATTGGTCCAATAATATTATTACCGACACTAACTGCGTCGTTTGTTTAAGATAACTTAACCTATAACCCCGTTAACCCAACACCGTTCTAAATAATATTTTTACAATTTTACATCGGCGGGCTGCCGATAAGACCGATTTTGCCCCGAATAAATTCGGCATGAACGTGTCTATTTGGCACAAATTTTCAAATTTACATATAAAATTAACAAATTTCAACCGCCTTTTGTGACTACACCTACATTGCAAGTGTCCCATGTGTGCAAACACACAAACAAAATATTCGACAACTAAAAGATAACGTCAAACGTCGCTTATATAAAAATAATTATTATAATAACTAACAGTTATTGTAGATATAACTTTATAAATTATTTTAAATTATATGAGAATTACCTCTTCATAATAATAATTATGAGCAAACCTATGCTCGTTGTTTCAACATCGAATATTTACAAATCGCTTACCTAAAGTTCATAGAACGTACTAGAAATATATCATAGATATATGGGATAAACATTACCAGCTTTCGACTGACGAACGAGACTCTCGTTACCCGTCGTCTATTCGCCGGTAAAAAAGAACTTAATACTAGCACAAACATTATCTCCATCCAATATAATTCTAAAGAAAATTACCTTTCTCGAATTAAATGGAGGAGTGTCAATCGGTGCCGCATCAGAACACTTGTTCTTTGACGCAATTCACCGACAAACTCTAAAACTGCGTTTCGATTTACGTATTTCGTAAAACGCAACGAGTTGTCAAAGGTGTCCGCATTACCGCGGCTCTCACATACCCTTATTTACAATAAATATGTACAAAATAACTTGTTATAAGTTATTATAAGCAGTAAGGATGACAGAATTGGTAGACGAGCCTCTGACTTCTTTCCGTTTTTTTCATGATGCCTTTCTTGTAATACTGTCGTATACTTCTCGACAGCTTGTCATAGTTCATGGCTGGTCTATTTTTTCTTTTGCCCCAAAGCCTGGCTACTCGTACTGAATCTTCAATTTTGAACACTCCGTTACCTGCGGAAAAGGACATGAATTAAACATTGTTTTATAGACAAATTATGTTAATAAGGCTTTTGTTTTTGGAGACAGCGTACGATCGGTAACTATCAGATGAAGACAAATTTTCTATTTGAATTGGGTACACGATGAAATTTGATTAGCTTTTTAGATATAAGTAATTAATGTTATTTATCATTTAGACGTGATTGTTGCTTCTCATTTAGTTATAAACATTGAATCGGAACTAAATTATAATTAAATGACCCAGAATGCATAAGGACAGATCAAATTTCCATTCTCGTGACTTTACCCAATGAATTCCATATAATCAATATATCTAAAATTACCATAAAACCGCCGTTAATACCAAAAATAGACGTGTTAACAATAATAGCTGTAAATCAAGACAATGTATAGGCACAATAGTATACATACAGTCACGACCTTTGGAGTATCTTATAGAGTAACTAACAGATGGCAAGTAAATGGCTTGTTCACCTTGGGTTGAGAATGTCACAGATACCCGAGATATGAACGTAGAGCATAGTTTAATATCAATGACTTCGCTTGAACTGACTTCTGGGTATAATTGAATCTATTACGACCTGATTGTAATACAAGTACCTACCAATCCTTCAGAATCCTCAATTTATTTCTACGCTATACTCATAATTAAGTTGAAGGTACTGTCTGTATGTTTAAAGTATAGATTAAGCTCATTATATGAATATAGGTATGATGCCTAAGTCGATAGAAAACGCACAAACAGGCAGACTGGTATTTTTTTTTACTTCGGACATGTTTTCGGGTACAGAATCTGGTAAGTAATTTTTTTTTAATCATCGCAAAACGCAAGCAAAGTCAGCGGTCAAATTTATATATCAATTAAATGATCCATATATATATATATATATATATATATATATATATATATATATATATAAGAGAAGAAAAAGGTGATTGTGCTGATCTTTAGCGATTTCACTAGATAAAAAGAATGTTAAGTGGAATTTATTCATATGTACCTACATAACATATATAACATGATATTTTTCTATACAATATACATACTACATATGTATTTAAGGTATAATAATGAACTTCGCACTCATAAAGTAAGTTCGTCACAGCCATGTTTTCGTTGATTAATTGAACAAAAAATAAATCGAGTCGACTACGAACGATCGGTTGACGGTTATATACATAAAATTATTTTTTACGACTAAAACGACTCGTTTCCGTGCCTTTGCTCAGTTAAAATATATCAGTAAATTGCTGGTATTATCCACTTCGTCTTGGAAATAAGACAAAAGAAACTATAGAGTAATCGATTTTTTTTTATTAGATTGATTTGACTAATTGTCTTTGCTTTGCTTTTTAAAATAAATATTATTTTAACACCTCCAGGTAAATTTCTAAGAAATTAATTAAATTTCTAAGAAATCTATTGTTAACTGTAACGCCGGCGTGTCCGCGGTCGTGGAGGGAATATTTTTTTTATAAACTGTGACATCAGTATATGATCACAGTGTCACTTGGAATAGGTACTATCGTCCTATCAGAGTGGACTGTGGAGCAACCCCGTGGTTGTTGTGGTCTGCTTCGGTAGACCTGCCGTCGGGGCGTCGTAGTTGAATGCGTAAGCGATCCTGCGACGCCCCATTAAGACGGGGGAAGGTTTTGTTGGGTTTTAGTGGGTAGTACTGGCTTTGCCGTTGAGTCCCACACCTCGTGCGTAAATGCATTTCCCAACGTTAAAAAAAAAGGTACTATCGTCCTTTATAATTCAATAAAAAAAATTCTAAGCCATATTATATTACTAATGCATATTAAACACTTAAATTGTTTAAAGACTGAGATAAAACATAGCTAGACAAAAGCAAAGCTATATAAATCAAATCCAAAATAAATTCTACTGATTTTATAAATGCGAAAGTTTGTGAGGATGTATGGAATATGGATGTCTGGATATATAGATGTATGAATGTTTGTTACTCTTTCACTCAAAAACTACTGATTGGATTTTAATTAAACTTTACAATAATAACTCATACATCAGAATAACACAGCCTATTCTTATCCCGGAAAAATGTACGATTCCCGCGGGATAGATTTGTTTTTGTTTTTTATATTTTTAATAGTATTACATAAGACTTTACACAGTTTTAACAAGTTTTTTTGTTATTGAAAGTATTTATTCATACTAAATACTACTAGATTTATTGCGGACATAAAGTTTATTGTTTAAAATCTTGTAAATAAAACCTGTATCACTCCAAGTATCCAGTTTCCAGTTTATATGTGTTGTTGAATTAAATAACAATAGAATATTAACGGAGTAGGATCTACCAATTGAATACATAACATCTATAACAAGTTTTTAAAAATAATAACTTGATCTGGAACATTTATATTTACGTAAATAGCTTTAATTTGCATCTACCAGAATCCTGGTGGAAATTCCAAATGAAACTTTGTTTACTTATCTACTTGAACTTGTTTTTTAATTGAACAATAGCTAAAGCCACGAAACAAAGAATTGAATATCGCAAATACATATATTTATAATATATTGTGTGTTTGTTCGTCTAGATTATATATTTTTATTGCTTAAAATGACATGAAAGGCTCATCTATTAAAAAGGTTTCTCTCAGTCAGCCAATTTATAGTATATATATATATATATATATATATATATATATATATATATATATATATATTTGTAAAATGGCAGTGAGTGTGATGTCTATTAAGTGTTTATTTATTTATTTTGTGTTAATCGGGTTAATGAGTAGGAAGCAATAAACGCTATTTTTAAGCCAACAGCTGGCCCTTAATTTAAATATCTACACATTTCCTTGAATATTCTTTACTAAAGATGATTTACGAAGACGATATAAATATTTAAGCTTCTACTTCCCTTATAATATAAAAATATAATTAATAATATATTATAATAATTTATATGAAAAATATTTTATTTAAATACCTACTTATCTATATACCTACTTAAAGTTTAAAGTGTAAATGATAAATAAATAAGTTTACTCGAAACAACGACTTGGCCTGTCACCTCTAATTATGTTTCCATTGAAATGATAAAAGCAATGTAAACAGCTAAATTCTTACTAAAAGTTCATGTGTTGAATTATACAATTATAGTATTGGAATTTATCTTCTATACCTACATATAATAAAATTCTAACTGACTTGAATTTGTACATTAATAATTTTTTGGAAAGTCTTATTGAAATAGTCATTATTATCGATACAGAGGCCGAATCTATAGTTTTTAGCATTTTTATCTGTCTGTCTGAGGATGTATCCGAGAAAACCTCTGGACAGATTTTGATGAAATTTGGTATGATGATAGCTGGTTATCCGGGTCAACATATAGGATATTTTTTACTGCAGAAAAATATCTTATTTTTTAGAAATCTATATTAAACCGTTAAAACGTACAAGAGGGACGAACCCGAGCGTAGCGAGGGTAAGTCGTCAATTATATATAAAATTCCGATGTGCGTGTGTTTGTAATTCTTCTCCTAAAAGGCTTGACGTGTTTTGGTGATGTTTTTTGGTGTACAATGTACATACTTATGGGGTCACCTGGATGGTTCTTAGTTATAGTTTGACCCGTAAAGTGGAGATATTGTAGAGATCTAGTTTTTTAAGTCTTAGACTAAACGAGGTCTTTAGCAGGGCAACCGGGTCCGCTAGTTATACAACTCTAGTAATATGTAACGATATATAATGAACATATTAATACTAGCTGAATATTATGGGTTCGAATTCTGCTTGAAGCAAATATTTGTATTGTACAACATATTTTGATTGATTTCATTAATTTAAAACTACATACCCATAGGCATTTCTAGGTTCGCCGTCATAATTTTTTTGTTTTATAGCAATTAAGATAGTGTTTATTATTTTATTTTCGTAATTTTATTCAAGATTAAGATTTAAGAGACGAAATCTACATAATAAGTAAATTATACTTAATTAGTAATATACTCGTTATGATTAGGCATCGCAGTATAGTGTCTCATTGTTTCCTATACCTACCCAATATTAAGCTTCTTTAGCTGTACTATAATCAAAAGACAAAAAATAACTAAAATAACTATTAAAAAACTGTCTGCTTATTTGTCTGTTTGTAATCCAATCTCCAGAACGGCTAAACAGTTTTTAATGGCACTTTCATTGACGAATAGGAGATACGTGTGACATATAGCAGTAAAATCTAAGTGGAGCCGTAGGCAAAATATATCTTAATATATATATTTCTTGTGTGCGTGTGTATGTGACTGAACTCCTCCTAAACGACTGGACCAATTTTGATGAAATTTTTTGTGTGTGTTCAAGGGGATCTGGGAATGGTTTAGATTCACAATTTGAATAATAATTTTCATCAAAAAAATTATTAAAAAAAGTTTGAAATTTTCAAATTAAAGACGTGTAGACAGGACAACGTCTGTCGGGTCCGCTAGTTTATGTATAAATATACTCACTTCGATCTAACCACCGTATTGCGGAGCCATGTATATGGGGTGACGCTAGTAGTTCCTTAAGGAATTGCCAGAGGTGTATATGCGTGCTGCCTGTCTTTACTTTCCCGCCTCCTTGGTTAGCGCTTGTGTTGGCTGCCTCTGAATCTTCTTCTGTTGACAAAACAATATATATAAATTAAAATCGCACTCGTATTAAAATTGTGGAAGTCTTTATGTATATGTTTATGTATGTGCGTGTGTGTAGGTGTGTTTGTATGTACAAATGTGTATGTATATTTTGTTACTTCTTCGTAACAAAATGGCTGGACGAATTTAGATGAAATTTAGTACGCAGATAAACTATAAGCTGGAGTAACATGTAGGCTATTGTAAAGCAACTAAGAATGTCCCCAAGCAAAGTCCCTGTCCCTAGATTTATGTAAACTATGAAATTTATGATAGCTAGTTGTGTATATTTTAGATTCCAAATGTTTATACAGGCACTATAAATTTTACTATATATCTTTCAGTGTTTACTGAATAAAAGATATACTAAATTCAGCAAGTAAATTATTTTAATACGTATGTATGTAATATTTATGTAAAAACTTAAAAGACTTTTGGGTTTTAGGATCGTCACTCGCTTTCCCTTCATGACTTCACTTCGCACTCCACTTTCCTTCGAAAAAGTCAAATTTGAACTCAAAATATACTTTCCTCAAATAGTATTTTAATACGCCCTCAATATATATGTACAGATATATTAACTGTCAGTGTTGTCCATTCGATATTATATCTGAATGGAACTAAAAAGCTCAGCCTTTAGTCTTTTATTAAAAAAAATAGCTAGAAGCTTTTTAAAACAGACTAATTTGAGAAATCTATATACTACTTAATAATATAGGGTTTATTTTATTATAATTTATATTTGGGTTTTACTAAGGTCTTACGTATTGAAAAATATTATAAACTTTTATAATTTTAGCAGCATAGCCTTCAATTTGGGGCATGTAAATAAATAGACAGTAAAGCGCTTGCCGTAAACACTCTTTGGTTAATGGCTGAAATCTATTTAAAGAGGCAAGTGTTAAATTAAATGTTACACACGATTTACAGTTAGAATCCAAATCCAAGTATTTGCAAGGACATGTACTTTTGGAACAATATCGTCACTACTTCGCTTAGTTCTAGAAATTCGCCTATAATCAATAAAAATTTAATTGAATTTTAATCTATCTATATAAAAAGCTGTTTTTAAACTATTTTTATTAATGATATTTTTAAAAAATAGAACAATTACTAAATTAGCTTAAAATGACAACATAGATAACAAACAAAATTTTTCATTATTTCGATAAGACATAGCATTTTGAAGTTCCTGAACTTTTGGAATTAGGTAATAAAATGGAACATTCCATAACTATAAACTTTTCGACACTTATTACAGCTAATTTAACATGGTTATTTGAATTCATTCTTTTAATCTCCACGGACAAAATATCAATCACTATACGATATATAAACTAACAACCTCATGATGGAAATAAAATATCATCATTTTCCTTAATAGTCCTCTAACTGCATAATTACGAAAATTTTATATGAATAGCTTGGGTCACCAAAGACAGTCAATTTAATGTCAATCATCAATGAAAAAAGTACTATATACACAATCAGCGACAAAAAATGTCCTCACTGAATAGGCGCTTATTTGAACATTTGAGCGCGCTTTTAATTTAATTTGTTTTTGTAAAAACTATTTTAAGCATTGCATTTAAGGATCAATTCACATTATTGTATATTTATTTTAACGGGACACAACTACCTTAACACAATTGGTGACAGTTTTAAGAGAAGTTTTGCATGGGATTGTGTATCTAGTAGTTTTTTGATCGATGATCAATAAAGTAAGATTACATTCAAGGCAAAAAAAAAAACAAAATCAAAATTTAGGTACTAATTAAATTAGACTTCTACAGCCACATTTGCATCGTAACAGTAAAATAATTAATAATTTAAAGAGTCATTATAATTACAGATAGTAGCTTATCTATACTAAAATTATAAAGAGGAAAAGTTTGTTCCTTTGTTTATTTGTTTATTTGAACGCGCTAATCTCAGGAACTACTGACCCGATTTGAAAAAAATTTTTTGCATTAGATAGGCCAAGGGAGTGGAGCTGTAATCATCAATGTCAACAAATTGGGCAGACTTCCATACATTATTGTAAAACTGATGTTTATAATCAAACAAATTTAATTAAAAAATAAAAGGGTGAAACCGCGGGACACAACTAGTGTTATACAATATATAAATACATTGAAAATGTTTGATTATTATTAGATTATTAGATAACATATATTTGAATTGAATATAGAGTCAATTGTAATCTGTTATCTATATCCCTTATCAATAGGTATATCAAATACCGAGTTATAGGGAAGTTTGAATAAGAAGTAACTGGAGAACTGAGCTTCGCTCGGTGTTTTTTCGGAAAAGATATTAAAATTACGTTTTTTATTTCAAAAAAAGGCATCTAAATAGATAAAATTAAAAATTAAACCTTATCTAAATACAAAATTTGATCCAAATCGTTAGAGCCGTTTCCCGTTTCACGAAATAAATAAATACATATATACAAAAATTCTTCATTTATATTTAAAAGACATACATATATTTTTTCGTATGAGGTGGATATAAAGAAAAGTAATATGAAGTTTTCAACTACAATATATGAAATGTTGCGGTAGCCAACATTTTACTTTAACCCAAATCATTCTATAGGCTAAAATCCATATCCATACTAATATTATAAATGTGAAAGTTTGTGAGGATGGATGGATGTTTGTTACTCTTTCACACCAGAACGGCTGAACGGATCTGGATGAAATTCGCACAGAGATAGATTGTAGTCTGGAATAGCACGTCGGTTACTTTTTATCCCGGAAAAAAATATACGTTTCCGGTGGAATAGATTTGTTTTTGTTTTGCACACAGTAGTTTATACAAATATTTATTTCACGAAATCAAACCCATTAATTCTAGTGTAGGAGAGAGTTCAACCAGATATTAAGCTCTACAGTTCATCATCATCTACACACATGAATACAAATATTATTGTCAAATTTGTTTTTATACAACTTTTGACATAAACTAATTAATGGTTTATGTATTAATAAATAAATATCATCATTCTCAATTCCAACCAGTATTTAATAGATCAATACACATATTTTACAATACAAAGATAATTCTTTTCAACGCGCTTTTTACTTTATGGCAAGAACGCATACGTCTTCCTGTCACATTCTAGATCAAAATCGATATAACTCTGAGAATTTATACATTTTTATAATGTCAACGGTTTATCTTGGCCATACATAAGCGACCTTGCGGGTCCGGTGGCAAAGTAGGTCTTCGGGAAACATCATAAAAAGCAACTTCGACTTATAAGGGCTCAGTGAGGAATAGAACTCATTGACCGTCTGATTGATAGTCTAACTGTACTTTAAGATGTAACATATACTATGTTAATAGATTTAGTGTTATGTGCTCACAATTTGATACCTTAAAGTATGATAAAGTCATAATTTTATTAACAGTAGAAAGGCGTCTTTTTGTATCTTTTAAAAAAACTAATACTGTTAGATACAATCCCAACTCGTAGGTTTGTTTATTTTGAAATACTCATAGATCTAAAGAGTTTTCCACTACTTACTGATTTACTATTATAATTTATTCATAGTTCAAGCAAACAATTGCCTGAACTAAATTTCTTTATCTAAACACAGTACCATTTGTATATACGATATAAAGTATCGTATATACAATGTTCGGAATGTTGCAAACTCAAACGATAATTGCCCGTAGTTTCCTGTACCAACTATCAACACTTTTTTTAAACCTCTGCCAACTGTACAGGTGCTCTGTGAACGCGACAGGTAATTTATAATTTAAAATCGATTAGGTATTGAAAATTAAATTACTAATCGATTATATATTAATGTTTTATGAGGCATTTACGGCTGGAATTGCAATACCGAACTATCTGTTTTTATATAATTTGATTCGATAGTTAATTATCGATTTTACAGCTCTACTAGTTATGAGATTTTTTATCTGTGATATGAAAAAAAAACTGTATAAAGACCTTGTAGTCGATAAGTATAAAAAAAATTGAAATATTTGTTTCAAACAAAATATTTGAGACGAAATAAATTATGTAAGCAATAGAATGACATCATTCAACTAAACAACTACTATAACAAGTATGTGTCCTCCTTATGTCTCAAGCCTCACTATATGTCTGCGGTGACCATACATCATCAACTCGTTTGTCTGTATGTAGGTCCTCGCTAACGGTGATTACAATGCATCGTGCTACATCTCTTAGATTTTCTCTTACCATTGAATCAATCTATCCTCGTTATCGAATGCGATAGATAAAGGTTTATTATAGTTTTTATACATATAAATTTATTGAATTTTAATAAAATCTATATTGTTGTGAAGTTTTCTACACTAATATTATAAAGAAGAAAGTTTTGTATTTTTGTCTGTTTGTAACGAATAAACTGAAAATTACTGGACCGATTTAGATTAAATTTGGTAAGAAGATAGTTTCAGACCCTGGGAAGGACATAGGATATTTTTTATTCCGAAAATCATCCCTTAAGGGGGTGAAAATGGAGACGAAAATTTGTATGGGTAGTCAACCTAGGACGAACCCAAGCGAAGCGAGGGTGAGTCACTATAACTTATATTTTTAAATTACTAATGAAAGAGACTTTAAACATTTTGCAAAATCAGTACAAGGTATTAACAATATTTTTTCATGAATTCCTTTTACAAAGTATTATCTACTAAATTAATTCGAAGTTATAGTATCAACTTTGTTATATTAGTTTTAAAGTATCGAAGTTTTGTATCGAACTCAAATAACGGTAGCGACTGTAGTAAAACTATGAAAATACAGAGAATTTCATCTTTATGCAATAAATAAGTTATTTTATACTATATCTATGTACGAGTATATTATTTGTGCTAACGTGGTCAGTAAATTAAATGAATATTTATGTTTATACACTTGGTACTAAAAATGTTTATTTGCTTCAGTGTCTAATTAATTTTCTTATTTAAATCAATCTTTTGATAGAAAGTTGACTTTTATGGCTATGAACATCTATTATATTATTATATCTACATTTCCATATTAATTATTAAAAAGGTTATTTTTTATTTTAGTTTTTACAAAATTTTTGTCAAACTGGTACGTGCTAAGTAAAATAATGAAAGTTTAATATTTGAATTTACAGGCATTATTTTTTTTTACTTTATCAGCGCGATTTTTTGTGGATAGTATTAGCTACTGTTCTAAAAAATATAGTAAATCCAAAAAATCCAAATGATCTAGAAAAGTGTTAAGTATAATTTCATAGGAAGTTTAAGATTCATTCAGGATGAAGTATATTTAAAATACGTACCATCACTCATATCATCAGCAGAAGGTAGACCAGTGGGCGCGGGAGTAGGGGACGGCTGCTCATGTTCTGTCCATTGACTCCTCCAACTTTCATGCCTTGCTGCCTTCCATATTTCAAGCTGCGCGTACAGTGTGCTCCCAGCCTATAACAATTGAGTATTGCTATAACATTTAAAAACGGCATAAAATTTACACGTTTGGCTCAGTTTGTAGTGACCCTACTTGCTGTGCCAGCAGTCGCGAGTTCAAGTCCTGCTGGTTCATTCATTCGTGTGATGAGCACGAATGATTGTACTCCAGTCATGGGTGTTTATATTTATAATATGTATGTATTTAAAGTTATATATGTGTAGTGTATTAACTATCTGGTATCCATAACACAAGTCTCGTAGCTTACCATGGAACTAGACGGTGATGTGTTAATGTCTCAAAATATTTATTTAATTATTATTATGTAAGAGTTACACTTTATTAAAAGTTTTAACTATAATATACTAGGTGAAACCGCGACTTCATTCGTATGAACCGATGATAGCAAATTATAGGCATAATTCACACAAAAGTCAACTAAAATGAAGAAAATAAAGTTTATTCAAGTGAAAAATGATCAATTTATAATCTACACACGTCTTAAGTAATAAACTTAAGAAACTATTTCCTTTGTCTCTTATAGGTATATTTATTTTATCAGATACGTTTGTTACGATTTGTATGCAAACAGTTGTAGTGATGTCTCAGAACTTTCATCGGCCTTGGAGAAAGTCTAAGCACCGGCGTACCATGACAAACATACCTACTATTAGATCATGACTATATATATATATATATATATATAATATATATATATATATATATATATATATATATATAATTTAATAAAAGACACCAAGAACGCAAAGAAAATTTTATCTCTTAAGTTCTTTTTAAAATTTTCTTAACTGTTAAGCCCTGGGCAAAGTCCAAACTATTATTTATACTGTAATGTTAATGCAACAACAATATCTCCGCCAAATCATACACTGCGTGTGTGACAGATAAAATGTTATCAGTACAAAGTCCACAGTAATTATATATCATTGCAAAAAGTAAAAATATAGTATTGCTATAGAAAAATCCTTTGTTTTCAAGAGATTTGATATATATATATATATATATATATATATATATATATATATATATATATATAAAGTGGCTGTTCCGTATGAATTGAAATTCAAATTTACACGCGGACAAAGTCATAGACAGTAGCTAGTTCTAATAAATAATTCTAACACTCTTAGTATATATTTTTCTTGCGGCATTATACCTATAATTTCAATCCAATTAATTATATAACTCGATTATTAAGAAATCGTTTAATCGTATGAATCGCTTTTGTAATAATGACCGCTCTAATTGTTTTAAAGTAGCGATTACTTAAAGTATAATTATAAACCAATAAGAAAGAGAGTATCACTCATCGGTTTTGTAGAAAGCATTGATATATCTTGGGGTGACTTTCCATTATGGCAATAAAAGGCAAGGCAGACTACGAATTACAATGTTTTGAAAGCTTTTTCTATAGAAGGGCTGTCCAAGCCAGATACGATCGCGGGCCAATACAAATCACTATATAATAGAATGGAGGGCCACAGAAACAAGTTCCTATGTTATGTACTAAAACTTAAACTTTTTTGGAGTTAAAATACGATGATAATGTTAAATTTAGTCTATCTAATTCTTCATTAATTTATCTTTTACAATTCTATCAATATCAACATTTTTGTAATTGTCGTAGATTGGACACACTCGTGGGCCGGTAGAAATATTAGCCGGAGGCCGCATGCGGCCGTTCTTTGGACAGCCCTGTTATATAGCTAAAATGTACTATTTTTATTTATTATATATATGTATGGTTGGAAATATTTTTTCTCTAAGTAACAAAAACATGTTTACTAATTTTCATCGAAGTCAAAGTCAAGATTTAAAAATACATATATGTATACTAGCTCTAGCCCACGTGTTTGCCCTCGTTATGTATTTATGGATAATTACTGTCATATTTAATGTTGTTTTATGGTGTTAAACAGAAAATATAAACTTAAAGGAAGTACCTATTTCAAAAAGCTCTTTTCAAATTGCATTTATAGTCCAAACAAACAAAAAAATCTCAGCTTCATAAACAAGGTTATATGTAGCATAGACTAACTTTAATGCTGAACTCTGAAATGTTCCGGAATGTGATTCCTATTGTAATACATTAAGGGGTTCTGTGACAAGTGGCACTATATATGTATATATATACTCGTATAAATACATATATATATATATACATATATATATATATATATATATATATATATATACATATGTAGTTAATACTTAAACAAAGTATATGTGAAATGCTAGTATAAAACTTACCAAATAGCACGGGCTATTACAAACAATTTCTATAACGCAATATTCTTGCCAATCTAACTTGAATTTGTGTTTTCCTTAATTTCTGCTTTAAGTGATTATATGAAAGTTGCATAAATGTTATTCTAAAACGGATTTCCTTATTACTCAACTATAGTGCGTACTGCGTAACGACAACTGTTTGAACTCGATACTCAATAGGAAAAGAAAATATCGCAATTTATATAAGAATGTTATATATTTAATACTAACAATTGACCCTCACTTCGCTCGGGTTCATCCCTAGTGAAAAACAAAAATAAATCTAACCCACAGAAACAGTACATTTTTTCCGGTATAAAAAGTAACCTATGTGCTATTCCAGACTATATAATATAATACGTAATCTATCACTATATCTATCCGAGTCAAATTTCATCGAGATCTGTTCAGCCGTTCTGGCGTGATTGAGTAACAAACATCCATCCAAACTATCGCATTTATAACATGAATGGGATTTTTACGAATTTTCACCAATTCCTCACGTAAATGTGAAAAAAATATTTTTTAAGTACCTAACTGATTGTAGACTTTTTTGTTTACAAAAACTGTAAATATTATTTCATTTATAAATAAACATGTCCTTATCAGCACAAGTTTCGAACCGAGCTCCCTTATCGATACCCTTAATCGACTGCAGGGTCGAGATTAACTATTCCAAAGTTGAACAAAATATCAACATGACACTGAATTATAAATGGAGAATAAATTAAAACTTGTGTTGTTTTTATAATTATTTGTAAAGTTTTAATATAAAAGTTATAAGGTATTATATTATTATTTATATATATTGTTTTCATTATTGATCTGAGCATTGGCATAGTTATTAGAAAGAAAATTATAAATATTTTTGAAATATTTTATTAACATGTCAGCAATACACCAGTAATTATTGAAAATCTCATATTTTTATCTGAACGATACGAAAGCCCAAAAAACAAGAAAAAAAATTTTATCTGTCTTTTTGTTAGAGCTTATTATCTACGAGTCTACGAGATATAGTAGTACATATTTACAAACAAAACACAATAAATACTCTATTACCTACCAGACACGTATAAACTACGTCCTGGATAAATATTGAGGCTTTAAGTTTAACCTTAAACTACATAAATATGTTAAATAAAATTGTACAGAGTCAAACCCCATAGCTTAAACATAGAAGGAAGTGTCAACTTCACACATCTATCATCAGACTAATATACAGTCAATATGTTAAGTAAATTAAATATACATAATTATATGTAGCTTATTATACATTATTACTTAAAAGGTCAAAATGACTCATAAGAGATATTTCAAACTCAAAGCTAAAATTCTTTTAACTCAAAGTGACTCACAAAATTCCATACTCCATAATATTGATTTTTTATAAATGGCTGTATAATAATTTAAGTAAACAAAATAATAGATGACTTATCTTGCTATGTGAATCTCTTGGATTGATAAACTCTCGTTTACTTATTTTCGGGACCCTCTTATTAATTAAATAAATAAATACGTTGGGACATTAAAACACAGCACCGTCTAATTCCATGGTAAGAAACGAGGTTTGTGTTATGGATACCAGATAGTTGATACACCCAACACACACAACACTGGAGAACAAACATTCGTGCTCATCACACAAATGAATACTCCCAGCGAGACTCGAACCCGCGACCGCTGGCACAGCAAGTCGGACACTACAAACTGAGCTAAACGTGCCGTCATCCTAGTTAAATTAATAATATTGTGCCAAGTTTAAGATTAAGCGAAACCAGGCTGAATAGTTAGTTAATTAAAAATACTAGTATACACAGGCCTAGTAATCGATATTCTATCATTCTCATTATTGAAAATTTAAAAAACGCACTGTGTCCAAAAAAAAAAATTAATAACTATAAAGCTCGTCTATAGCTATTGAACAAAAGAAAAGAAAATCGATTGACAAAAAAAGTAGAAAAAGGAACTGAGCTATTTTGTCATTGTATGTTTATATAAAGTACATTATATAATACAATATTTATGACATTATATAAAAACACATATAACAATAATTCAGTCTATTATATAATGTAGTACACTTACTTGTGGAGCTCGTTGATTGAACTCGTCCTCCGTCAGAGCGACTAGTGCTGCACCATCCATTGCGAAGTACTCAGCAGGTACCATCGGCAAATTGAAATGTTGAAGTGTGAAGACCACCCACGATTTCACATCACTAGTGCTCCATTGCATTGGATCTGTTAAAGAAAATATTTAAATAAATATAATCTATCAAATTTTTTTTATAAGAAAAAGGTTTTTTTATTAGGTTTTAATAGCTAATGTTCTAAAATATCATTTCTCCTACATTCAAAACATCCCCCATTTCTTTTATTTTTTTTCGAGTTACGACTCATCCTCGCATCGTAGAGTTCGTCTCTAGGTGATTCTTTAGATTGATTTAAGTTTTTTTATTTATAAACTGATTGAAATAAAACAAATACTAAATATTAAGTGAAGCACCCACAATATATTAGTAAAACCGCACCCGAATCGATTAAGCTGTTTCTGAGATTAATGCGCACAAACGCACAGACATACAGGTAAAAATTCTATAAATCATTGTTTTGGGTTCTATTGCGTTAATAAAGACCCCGCAATAATAGTTTTTCTCAAATATCTTCCATGTACAGGCAACTATCAGATACATTTATTATATGTATAGATATAGATTTGAAAAATCACCATGAACTAAAAGATAATATTCCGTCACGTGCTTCTGACAATTATACAATTATTATGAATTTTCCTTAAAAGATATAAATAAATATAATAAATCAAATATATTTATGTTAAACGTATGACGCTATGAGATTAGCGCCAGAGATCATCAATAGACGTATTAACGAACGCTTTAAAAATGGCGTAATCGACCATTTTTACACAGTTCCTAGAATACATTTTTAATCGTTATATGTCTAAGCAGTAGCACGGTATCTACGTGGAAAAAACTTGATTTTTTTACTGACTTACGCTATTGGTGACGTCATTAATAATTATTCTTCTGATCGTCGTGATTATATTGTGTAGTGCCTACATTCTCACATATTGTAGAAGAATTTTTATAGGACAGTTCACATGTAAATACCAATTGTATGATTAATGCATATAGTACATGACTCACCTGGTGATATACCCAATACGGTGCAAGTGTTATCAACGTCTCGTTTGGACTGCTCAATGGCCATCGAAAGAACACGGTCTATATCTGGGGCTACGAGAGCATTTTCGTCACCACCACTGCTCTCTTCCATTTTGACACTGCCCAATTCTAAGGGAATTGGCCTCAGGTTAAGGCGTTTTTGGAATGATGTGTCTTCAAGAGCAGATCGCAGAAGTACGTGGTCTCTGGGTTCTTCAACTTCAATTTTGGGAATTTTGTAAGCTTGCTGTACGTTGTCTTGTAATATCTGGTTTTCTTTTAAAAGCTCTTCAATGTCTATATATTCTTCGTGCTGTGGTACTGGAGAGGAGTATTGGTTTTGGCTGCCGTATGAGACGCAGGAGCCTGACGGTGACAGAGGGTATGGTGATGCAAATCCTGGAACTGTCAGTCTATTTGGTTCCTCTTTGATGAATACAGGGGAGTATTGTAGGGAGTTATACGGCGAAGGTGGTTGCAGCGCCACGGTTGGAATAGAACCTTCGTCTGATGAAGGAGAGGGGGTAGGATAGCCCTCAAAATCGTAGAGCTCAAGATAGTTGTTATCTGGATATGGTGGAGGAGGCTTTATGTGTGTTGGGGGTGAATGTAACATGGGTTCAGGAGGAGATTCAGCGCCGAGGAGGCGTAGAAGATGATGTAGGTCAGCCGGGGATGCAGGAACTGCTCTCTCGCCCTGGGATGCCGATGGAGGGCTACACCCAGAGCGGGGCACCGTCTGTGGCATCTGTTAACAAAGAAAACAAATATACATAAAAAAAAATAGTTAAATTTTTATAATACACTAATATACTATTGTAAATTGGGTGTACACCTTTGAAATAAATATTATTATTATTAGTACTAACAATTATCTATACTTATTATAAAAATAAGTCCCCCGGCCGCGTCTTTCTGTCCTCCTGTCTGTCCTCCTGTCTGTCTGTACGCGATAAACTCGAAAACTACTGAACGGATTTTTATACGGTTTTCAACAATAGAAAGAGTAATTCTTGAGGAAGGTTTAGGTATATAATTTATTATGCTTTTATGTAAATTAGCTGAAATACGGCGACAAATGTTGAAGAGGTCGCAAAAAATCTCGCCAAATGGGAACTTTCCACGCGAACGCCGCGTAAACTAGCAAAGATACAGTTAAGTAATGTACTAGAGAATTCAAAATCTATAAAAATGCTACAAAAAAGTCCGCGATAGCATATCTCTATCTCTTACGGTTGACTTACAATAACCACTTTTATGTTAACATTTTTAATTAAAAACATTACGTTATTTTCAAAGTTATTTTCTTTAGTTCGGTATTAATCCTTATCCAAATGAATATTTTAGTTAGCTTAGTCATTTAATGCAGATTAAAATTGCTCTTTACACTAAATCAATCAGATGAATAGTTTTTGAGATATCGTTGTTAGAAGTAATTAGTAGCGAAACATTTTTAATGCTTGGCGAGCATTGAGATGCCTACGGCGAGTCCATCCCCTCTGCCCCGCATCGCTCGACCGCCTGCTCAAGCTATATAAACCGGGCGATGTAGCGCGCGATCCTAGGATACTTTTTACCGCGGGAAAATATCTTATTTCTGAGGAAAAATACAAAAACTGCAATGTAAGAGTATACTAATATGTAACACCTAAGAATTTAGTTTTTGGTCATCTGAACGCGGGCGGAGCCGCGGGCAATGCTAGTAGGAGATAAAAAAAAAGATCGAAGATTCCATTATATTAGGTTTTTCACCACTTTCTACTGGTAATTGTGAAAATCTAAACAAAAAGTGTACTAAAATATTACAAACATTTTTTAATAATATTCTAATTATAATTTAGGCAAAACACGTGTGCCAAAATTAAAACATAAACTTTTAAATCATTTGCGTCAAGTTTAGCCTATGACGTGGATCCAGATGTCTCAAACATAACACTCTGCCGTTCCTACTTTGTTTGTTTGTCGAAACGTCAATATTGTCTTAAATTAGAATTGAATTAATGGGTTAATTAGAGGTCACGATAAAAATAAAATCTTTGAATGAACACTACGTGCAATAAGCTGATAAATTATTGTTTCTTTTCGAAATATTAAATTTTATAACACTTAAATTCATTAGAATAGTTGTTTAAAGAATTCATTTTGCATTATTACACTTTCCTCTATGACTAAAAATTCTTAGAGATTTTTCGCCACTCGTTTGAATTAATTACGAATACCCATTAGTATTAAAATAACTTAAGTTAATAACTAGTATCTACTTAACATAAATTAATATTTATTATTATTGGATATTTATTATAATTTCGATGGAATATTTTGTCTTTTAAGATAAAGGGAATGCGTGTTACTCACTCGCCATAATGACAACCCCATTGTGTCTAATCCAACGAAATACTGAGTATTTTTCCCTTTTCATCAAAAGCAAGTGGAACCGGTCGGTCCAGGTAATCAAGTCACCTAGCATTATTAACTTGCTATTAACAATGTCTTCTCATGCCATGTAACAATTCATTCGTAGCTACTTACATAGATAGAACACGCGAATATACCGGAATATATTAATCATATATGGTAAAGAGGCAATCATCTTCTTTTTTTTCTTTAGTGGCTTAGAGATTTCCATGTTCAAGATATATTTTCATTTTTCATCTTCAAGTCGAAATATTTTTGACTTTTCATTGTATTTTAGACTGTTTAACGTATGTTAAAAGTTTACAAATTCATTCTACTAACGCTATCTAATTTAAGATGTTTAATTTATTTTTAAATTTACTCCGTCTAGTAGGAGAACTAGATAAGTATAATTGTACTCTTTTACTTTCTCTTCTAAGATATACCAAATTCTTAGGTTTTACATATTAGTATATTCTTACATTGCAGTTTTTGTATTATTTCTCACAAATGAGACATTTACCCGCGGTAAAAAGTCCTATATGTTGACCCGGATAACCAGCTATCACCATACCAAATTTCATCAAAATCTCTCCAGTGGTTTTTCCGTGATACGGTAACAGACAGACAGACAGACAAAAACTCTAAAAACTATAGATTTGGACTTCTGTATCGATAATAATGTCTATTTCAATAAGATTTTCCAAAAAATATTTAATGTACAGATTCGTCTTAGTTAGAATTTTATTATATGTATAGATTTTTGTGTGATAAAAATCTTTTATTAATTGAAAACGCGTCAATAACGATCCATTTTTATATTACGCACATAATTAGAAGTTAATTTATAGACATAATTATATTCTCAAAAGGTCACAAGATGGACAAGTTTAAATGTCAAGATTTAGAGCACTCTGGTGTCACATATCAACTAAAAATATTTATTATAGTTAAACGTAGGTACGTTTTAGATAGATATAAATAGTTACTAGCTAGCGTTAGCCATATAGATTTTAAATATTATTTGGTGATATTTTAATAGTTATACTGCTAGAAATCGGTCCAGCCTTTTTCGAGTCATAAATGTTTTAACAAACTCGATATATATAGATAACCAATACAACATAAGATGGAAGAATGTCACACGGAAACTGATTGATACTCGAATCATTAAAACAGTATTAAGTGTTAAACGCTTTAACACCTGTGTGTTGTTGAAAATGATATAATTAATTAAGAAATTCACAATTATAATTTGTATATATATATATATATATATATATATACAAATTATAATTTATATATATATATATATATATATATATATATATATATATAATCTATATTATTATTTTATTATCTTTTTATAAAAGTATAAATAACAAAACGAAAAGCAAAATGATCGAGTAGGTATTGAATGACGGGCGAAGCAGCCTTAACAAAAATATAACCTATTGTAAATGTCTAATTATAAAACCTTACAAGTTCGTTGGGGCCAAATATGCGGAAGCTTTGGCATTCCAATGAATTAGTAAGACCACAAACGACATATTAGGCTGCACCGGTTAGGTGATTGTTAAATTCCTACATACAATTATATTGTGTATATATTATAACTATAATATTCAAATTATTTTGTTGAATTACTAAGTATGACGAAGTTCACAGGTTCAAACTCTGTTTATCTGATATAAATAAAAATGAATGTTGGTAAGCTCATAACTCAAGAATGGCTGGACCACTTTGGCTAATATTTTTTTCGTATGATCCTTAAGGTCCACGGAAGGTTTTAATAAAGTGAAAAAATGAAAATTAATGAAAACAAAATTAAAATTTATATGGCTAACGCTGGCTAATAACTATTTATATCTATTAAAAACGTACCTAGCGACGAACCCGAGCAAAGTGAGGGTGAGCCGCTAGTTGTAAATATTAATACAGTCAACTCTGATTTATCTTTAAATAATTGAGAGTAAATGATCCAAATTATAATAAAAAGTGTAAATGGAGGTACCTACATAGTGACCACTACAACCCTTCGCTTCATACAAAGAAAACTGAAACATATCCTATTACCTTATAGGAAGATAAGTCTTTAGGTCTGACATCAGATCTATTGTGCTGATTTATTTTAGAGCAAAACAGACACGCGCGTGACCAGACAAAATGTAGCCTTCTGCTACGATTTCGACAAGGCCTTGGGTTTTTACGAATGAGCAGACTGAAATATTACAAATACCTTTTCAAATTGGATAGATGCAACAAAGTCGTGTCTATTACTAACACTATTGTGAACGTGAAATCTTTACTTCGTTATGTAACTGTCATAATTTTTAATTTACAAATAAGTATGTTTAATAGCGTGTCTTCTGCATTCTACACGACATCGGCGAAGTAAATGATGCCCATACAGCACTTTTAGAAGCCATTGAACATACGAATTGAATTGAAAGTATGTTTCGTATTTTTAGCTATCTTTCGATAAGGTGTTGATAGATATTACATAAAAATATATAATAGGCATATACATATTACGTATGTAATCTATATGTGTAATCTCTATAGATTATTTATAGGCCAATTTCCAAAATTGACCCTAAATTGATCTGTAATAGGCTTAGTAAGATAAGTTATTAATTATTACATTTCGGCCATATGAAAGCCATTAACAGAATATATAGCTTACATTAAATTTAATCATTACATTAATAGGACAAAAACAGTGTTATGTAAAATCAAAAGCATTTGAAATCTTCATTTTTTTACTTATTACATTAACGGTCACGTGTACGAAGCAGAAATAGTTTTTGCATAATACAACAATAACGATACGAGTCTCGTTACTTATTACAAGATGTCCCAGACAGATTAACTTAAATTGCCCATTAGTTTTGGCACACCATACTGATTTATAACCTTTGTGAAAAAATCCAAACAAAAATAACCCCAACACCAATACCATAGAGCACAGAATAGCGCGCAATACTATATAGTAAGATTTTGAACTGAATTGTGCTCTTTACTCTGTTTATAACGCTTAAACTTGCTCTGTAAGCATTTAGAACATGTTTCAACAACTGACAACTATACATATAAAATGTTAAAAATACTCCTAAAACAAATTGTTGGGAATCCCGCTTACTTTGAATACACGAGTGTCACAGACCGTGAACAGTGGAACTAAATAATTAATATGAGATTTTTTACAACATTATTTTGTACTAACGTGTTAACGATAGCCAAATATCTATTCTGATATTAGGTGTAGCTTGAAATATATCTTACAGATTTGCTTATAATAATAACTAAAGCCTAATAATCTAGACCTTTTGCCATTAAAAAAAAAACACTTAA